CAGCTACTTCCATCAAGGACAGAAAATAATTAGATGAAAGGAAAAAAATAATGAGTGCCGTACAACGTATCAAAGTAAACACCAACTAAGGCGAATGAATCAAAGAAAGGCAGTCCTATAAAGAGGGCAAAAGCAACTAAACAAAAAACTGAAAGATAGAAAACTGCTGTTCCTAACAAGAAATTGGACTAATATCTTTGATACTAAAATCTTGAATATGTTACCTGTGTGAGTCCATTTCAAATAGGTAAAAAGAAATAAGAATCAGAATTACAATCAATTTATTTTACCACCAACGACCGGTTTTGCATACTATAATTTGCTGTGAATTTTCAGGTAAACGGTACATGGTAAACTAAATGCTAAAAATATTCTAACCCGTATTAGGGTGCTGTCTGGTACAGAATATACAGCAATTGTGCCAATATTATGTGTTTGATTATTAAATATGAATTTAAATTACTTAAATAAAAATGAAGTTAAAAATGATTTAGTAAAATTCAAATAAATAAATATGACTTACATGGCGATACAAGAATTATTATTAAAAATTTGAGAAAAAATAGTTTAAAACCGATGATCACCTGTCAGCAGTGTACCATAATGTATTTTAACATGACTATGCTATGACGTAAATATATGGTTATTAGGGATGAGATAGGCAACTTTTTCTACATATGACATGACAACTGACGTCTAATTGTCAAGCCGCCATATTGAAAGGGCGTATCTTTGAAGTCTGTTCCAAGTTTTTTTTATTTGTCAGAAAATTTTCTACAGGTTTTTGATATTATGCTATGTTGTGTATATAACATAAACGAACAATTTTAATACATGATAAAAATACAAAGACTTTGTTAAAACTATAAAATTTGACCCATATAGTCCGTATTTACAGTTGTTGGGATTCGTATTTTCCGACGTTTTTTTTAATAGTGCACATTTATGTTATTTGTGATATTTATATGTATGTTTACCATTCGCATATTTTATTGTTTATAATAATATATTTCTTTTTTTCATATGTATATTAATTATATTGTATTATTATATGTAATTGTATAAATTTTATTCCGTTGTTATGGATTTTATTTGAATTTGTAATTAAAATAACGTTGGTGTAAACGTTTATATCATTTATGAATAAAGTAAAAAAAAATACGCCTGTGTTGTTTCTATCCTTAAATTTTTATGATTGCGTGTTTTTTCAGTGTATTTCAAGTGTGAAGATTATGGAAACTAATGAATTTGGTTTAGTCTTCAAAAATTCCAAAAACGGGTTATTTGTAACCCAACGTAACTATTTTTACTTAAATTTAAGTACTTATTGAATGTTGTGTGCATATGTACTCCTCAATCAGGGCTGGGTGAGAGTGAAAGACAAGCTGTTATACCGTCGGATTTTCGACGAAGTTTAACCACAATTTTATCCCTTATGCCTTTCAGAGTACTGAAAAAATGAAAACTGTGGGGTTTCCTGGGGAAATTTGCGTGATAATTGAATTCTATTTTGTAAAAAATTCCTTCCTGATGTCATTTGGAACAAAGAAATCCAAATATTATGCTATTCAGACGACGCCGCATTAATCGCCGAGGAGACAGAAGACGAGCTCCAAAGATTAACACATATCTTCAATATAACAGCTAAGAAATACAATATGATAATATCAGCAGAAAAAACCAAATGTATGACATCTAAATACCCACTACGATGTAAAATCGAAATTGATGGGAAAATATTAAAGCAGGAAGCAAGGTTTAGATATCTGGGAATATATATATATATATATATATATATATATATATATATATATATATATATATATATATATATATATATATAACTAGTTACGGAGATGTTGAAGAATAAATACGACAACAAAGCTTAAAAGCAAGTACAGCAGCGGGTTCTCTTAATGATACAATCTGGAAGAACAAACACCTAAGACAAGACACAAAAACAAGAATCTATAAAGCAGCAATTAGACCTATATTAACATACACGGCGCAGACAAAACCTGACAAATCTAAAACGAGACGACTGCTAGAAACAACAGAGATGAAAATACTCCGACGAATATCAGGGAGAAGTCTGTTGGATAGGAAGAGAAGCGAAAACATAAGAAGAGCATGCAATATAGAAGTCGTAAATGGATGGGTGACAAAACCAAAACAGGAGTGGAACGAACATATCAGTAGAATGGCAGAGGATAGAATAGTACGAATAGCACGATATAAGTCACTAAATGGACGAAGAAGTATTGGCAGACCAAGAAAAAGATAGTGCGAAAATTTAAACAATTTAGGAGGCTAATATTGAAGAAGAAATAGGCTTTAAAGCCTACATACTAGAAGGAAGAAGAAGAAGATTGAATTTTTAAAAATTTAGGCATAATGGCTACTGGTGCTCTAAGGTTGTTAATTATAACGTAAACATGTAATGTAATCTGTAAGTATCCTGATATTTGCTTTAAGTTAAGTAAATATTAACTCTATTGGGTTCAAAGTACAGTAAATTACTATTTATAACTGGGAATAAGCCACAATTAAAGATAAAAATACGTTTATTGACGTTTCAATTTATTTACTGAGAATTTACTCTTTACTCCTGAGAACGATTTCCGAATTGGAAATTGAAACGTCAATAAACGTATTTTTATCTTTAATTGTGGCTTATTCCCAGTTATAAATAGTAATTAATTTACAATGCCACAAGAAAATAGCTTCAGAACAATAAAAAGTACAGTAATAAGGAAGTCTAAGCACGGTATGCCCATTACTACGAGCACAGTTATCAAAAACATATTTCTTCTACTATGAGCAGCCTCCAACAATTGCTTTCTACTATATGATGCCTCCAGATACAAATCTTCCTCAAATAAAAATTCCTCAATTTGTAATTTGTTCCAAGTAATATTTGGATTTTTTCTCATTAATCTTGAATGGTATAATGCGATTTAAAAACATGTTTCTGCAATTGCCTCTAATTTAAACAATTCAGAACACAGTCCTTCTTAAACATATTTCAGCATACGTTTAGCATCATCAGAGAGATATTGAAAATGCTTACGTTTTACCACACAGCTTTGTAAATCTTCTAATTGATCAGAGGAATCGACTGGAAATTCAGCTGCAAAATTATGATCACACATTTACGTTTTTTATTATCAACGTTTTTACACAAAACACATATTTCAAAAACTTTTACAGACAAACATTTAAGTAAAATTATGTTATATAATCATCACAGAAAATGTAGTTATATTATAAAAATTCTAGTGTAGTCATATTATAAAAATACTTAATCAGAAATAAAACAATTGGTTGTAAATTCAGAATGAACTTAAAACGACAGAACGTTGGACATATGTAAAGGGAATAGTATGTCTGATATGGGCTGGATTGTCTGAAAAAGAAGAGGCAACAAGACTTATTTTATGAAGTGTAAGAGATAATATTATATATCACATATATAATAAAACTTATAATCTTGATGATGAATTGCCTTTATTAATAGATTTTAAGTTAACTTAAGTTAACAATAATGAGCATAAGTTGCTCAAATTATTGGTATTTGTCTTTTTATTAATGGTTTCTTCTTTTGAAAAATGGATGCCATCTTGAGAAACAATTTTTTTCAATAATTACTCTCCGTGAATAGGATTTTTACATTCGGAAAATTGACAGAGTGGAATGTTGTGTTAACATGTGTGGCTAGGGAACATCTATCAGGGTGTAGCCTGATGTCACTCTTGTGAATCAAATGGCTGGAAACTTTTTGGGGGTTGTGACCTACATAAGAACCTTCACAGCCTAAACAACTAAGTTTGGATAAAAGATTCCTTTTATCTGAGTTTGGTACTTTGTCTTTCAATGACTTGTACAAAGATCTAGAGTGCTTTTATGGGCAATTTTACATTTGGTAATTATTGAGCAAAAATTCTGGTCAATTTGAGAATGACATCCTTAATAAATGGAAGTGATAGAAAAGAGATTTGAATATTGTTAGTCAGTGAATGAGAATGAGAGCTAACTTTCATAGCACCTGTATTTTGGGAAGGGTTCTGGGTAAGAATTCGGGATAAGAATTATCTAGGAACAATTGTAAAAGGATGTTGAGATTCTTCTTTCTAAAAATAGGGTCAGTCAGTTTACAAACTCTTGTGGTCATTTTTTTTTTTCATTAGATTAATTTTCATTTTTGACTTGTGGTAAGAATGGTAGTTGAGGTATCTTCCAGAGTTGTGTGTGTGCTGTTGGTTTCTTTTGACTCTGGACTTAATCCATTAGCCGAACTAAATCCTTCCAGAGTTGTTACACTTTTTTCTATACCGATCAATTGTAATGACATTAACTATTTTGTATATAATTGGTATTCATTTTGCTTATTGTAGCACCCTGATGATGCAAATAAAGATTTGCAAAAGCTTGCTAAACTAAAAACATTACTTCTTTTGTCCTGTGTTCCGCTGCATATCCAAAGAGATTTGAGTATTTGGTATATATATTTTATTGATATACACCGTTTACTTATTTAATTTTAATTTGATTGATTATTTAATCATCTATAAGATGTACAGTAATAAAATATAAAAGGTTATTAATTAAAAAAAAAACAAAGAATGACTCTCCTGCGAGACATCGAACAATTTGCAATTTTCTTAAATTTTCTTTTCGTAAGAACATTCTACATAGTATTAAAAAATAAAAAAAAATGAATGAAATCGGTATAATTGTTCTTAAGTAACATAGGAAAATAAGGATTTATAGATAGACATAAATACTATAAAATTATTTATTAAAGAAATAATAACTGGATTCAAATATCATCTGACAATTTTCATTAATTTTCCCAAAGTGAAGATTATAAATTTTATACAAAAATGACTTTGAATCATTTTAAATAAGATTAAATAAAATATTGATTAATTCAATAAAATAAGTTAAACAAACGTCGTGTAAAACACTTAATAGTCCAGAAAACGAACGTTTTCACCTTTCAATTTTTTCAAAAAGGTCGATTTACTTAAAAATTTGAAAATAAATAGTGAAGCCCTAGAATCAAAATCTCAATCTTTTTAAGCTTTTTTTATAGATTTTGACAATAAGGCCTAGTTGTCACCCTTAAAAAATAAAAAGCACCCGCGGGTACAATACAAATTTTGAAGTAGAGGATAAGTTGAACTTACTTCCAAATTTTTATGCAAATCGGTCTTTTTCGAAAAATTTGCGAGGTTTTGTACTATTTTAAGCGACTAAACTATAAATATTTACACAATTTTCTCTAAACAAACAAAATATATTATAACAAATCAATTAAGATAACTCAGTTTAAATGAGATCTTCTTAGTTCTAAGTATTTTTCTTTACTTTAGGTCTTTAAGGGTAATCTTAAGTGGATCTATCAAACCGTATAACATCCTGGCTTCAAATCTCATGTCTGGCTGGTCCCAAGACAATTCAAAATTTCTGATCATCTGCAAACATAAAGTTCGTTTATTATAGATAAGATTAGTATCTAACAAATACATAAAAGTCCTATTATAGTGCAATTTGAAAAATTCTTCAAACCAATATTCAAAAATATCACAGCATCAGTAATTTGCTTTTTTTTGGGGGTATAGCAAACAAAAATTATGATAAAGTTTCACTTTACATTTACTTTATCAAGTTTTATAAGGAAAAAGGATTAATTCAATGGTGTTGAAGAAACAGTGATGTATGTAAGGTTATTTAGCTAACAAATAACACTGACCAATATTCGCAGACTTCTGTGGCTGACTGAAAATCTAATTTATGATCCATAGATAAATAATATAATAGAAGAAATTTATGATCCGAAAAAAAATCCGTAAAAAATGGGGCATGTCCATCGAGTTAGAATCTATGGAGAGGGCAACACGTGACTAAAAACGACCTCACTTCGGCCATATTGTTAATACTATTGTTAATATTGTTTTGACACTTTTGACACATCGTATAAGTTTATTTACGTTTGTTATTTTTCGAATATTTTAAGTTTTATAATACTTTTATAGAAACTGTAATAATATATTGTGATAGTGCATAATAATAGTTTCTTGTTCTCAATGTAGTTGCAGTAGCAGAAGCAATGCTAATAAAAAATCTTCAGGAATAACGTTGTACAGGTTAGTATACAAATATGTAAACAAAGTAATGGCCCGTACTTCAGAGAATAAATTAATAGTATTTGACTGTATTAATCTATGGTTATGTATAATATATCGTATTTTTAGTGTTTACCGCGGGATAAATAAATCATAGTTTATTAAAAATGTATTGCACTTTTTAGATTATGATTAAATCTTCTAAACAACTAGCCATATTTTTATAGTAGTTTTAATATTATTGAGTCCGGCCATGATCCCACCGCCATATTGGTATTATCGTTAGCCACACCTACCTACGCCGTTTTTTAATACACACGTTAATATGCTCATAGCTTCTCCATAGATTCTAACTCGATGGGCATGTCCGAGCGCTACAGGGAAAAAAGGAGGGATGTCAATGTGACCGTCGACCGACGCCTACAAAGCGGTTAATACATTCACCGAACAACATGTTCGGTGAATGTATTAACCGAACGAATGTATTTCGGTGATACATTAAAGTTTGTACATGGCTCAGAGGTGTTTAGAGGTTATGTATGTTTGTTTACTGAACCTGAAAGGAGAATTATCAAGTTGTAAATATGTCTAGTGAGAGTGACGAAAATATGAAATGTGATGTTATGGACACACGGGAAAATAATCCAAAGGAACGTAGAAAATATGGTCGAATTTATGAAGTACATAAAAAATTAAATAGACAAAGCCATGTAATAGGACCGGATTGTAACTGCGTTAGGTTTAAGTGTTTTCTAAAAATACAGGAACAAGCAAGAATTCAATTTATTAGAAAGTTCAACCTCATGGAGTCGACAAATGCCCAAAATATATACTTATGCGGATTAATTTCTGTACAAACTGTACAGCAACGAGGACCACGAGATTCAGAGAATTCTGCACGTCTTTGTGATGCCGCATTTAAGTTTATATTTGTTCAATATACACGTCTTGTCTACAGCTGAGTCCATATTTTATATTTACCCCGAGACTGTTGCCAAAAATGGTTGTGATGATGTTTGTTCACTGCTTCATCACTATATCTACAACTTGATGAAACTTGAAAAGTATGAAACTTGAATATTTTCTGCAACTCATGCGGAGGACAGAATAAAAACTATACTGTTCTTCGGTTTATTCATAACATAGTTCAACATGAGAAGAGACTGGAATCTATCCAAATAACTTTCCTACCTGGAATATGACATACCTACCTGATATTTTGGACTTGTCAATCAAAAATCAAAAGCCGAACACCGTTTCATGTTGAAGAATGTCCTCAAGAGTATTTTCGAAAGTGGACTGAATGTTTACGCAAGCATTATAAAAATACATTCCCTTTTCTAACTCGACCCATCCGCGAGGTAAAAGTTGTTAGGTATCATCCTCGTCTTTTGTACTACAGAACAACATTAATGGAACTTGGGAGACCACAGTAATAACACAGCAGATATTGACTACCCCCAAATTTCCAGAAATGGGAATTGAGCTACCTCCATATGCTTATAGAGGTAAAACGCCCCAATTAATTAGTTTTATAAAGCTTAATTTTGTTATTTTTTTTGCACTTCTGCCGATCAGTCCAGCGAAATATGCAGACCTGCAGCATCTAACAAATTTTTGTGGTTCAGATGCCCAACGTTATTTTGAGAACTTCCGCATCAATAATTTAGAGACCCAATATACTCTAATCTCGTGTAGACGCTATAAAATTGTTGGGAAAGAACTATTTTTAAGTTCTTTTACATTAACATTATTTTTATAATAATCGTTGTTTACTTTCTGAAACAAAATGCATATTTGTATCTACGTTGTTACTACTTTTCTTGACATACCTCCTTTTTTACTTTAATATTTTGAATTAATGTGTAAAATTTCTAAATGTTTGGAAAAATAAAGAAAGTAGAATAATTTATATTTTTACTTCTTCTTCTTTAAGTGCCGTCTCCAAATCGGGAGTTGGATATCATCATCACTATCTTTACTTTATCTACTGCTGCTCTGAAGAGTTCTATAGAACTGCATTTAAACCAGTCCCTTAAATTCTTCAACCATGACACCCTCCTTCTTCCTATACTCCTTCTTCCTCTTATCTTTCCCTGTATTATCAACCTTACCAGTTCATATGCTGTCCCCTCATTACGGGTCCCAGATATTGGTCCCGTGTTAGTTTTCTTCTGTATCCATGTTATTCTAAGCATCCTCCTGTAACACCACATTTCAAAGGACTGTAACTTATTTATGTGTTCTTGTTTTAATGTCCAGCTTTCAAGTTCATATTGCAGTATCGAAAACACGTAGCATCTCAGTGCTCTTACTCTCAGTTTTAATCTACGATCTTTGTTGCAGAGAATTGTTTTCATTTTTACAAACGCATTTCTGGCTATTTCTATCCTAGATCTTATTTCGGTTGTTTGATCATTATTGTCTAAAATCCAGGTCCCTAGGTATTTGTATTTATCAACCCTTTCTATCCGTACATTTGCCAAATGTATGTTTGTTGGTATATTTGTTTTCTTTTTTATTATCGTGTATTTGGCCTGTTTTATATTCATTTTTAGTCCATATTTTTCACAGAAACTGTTTGTTTTGTTTAGCAGTAATTAGAGTTGTTCAGTAGAGCTTGCCATAATCGCGATGTCATCTGTATATCTTATGTTGTTAATAGATCTCCCGTTAATTATTATTCCTTCACTTTGAGACAGTAATGCTTCTTCAAAAATGGCTTCACTATATACATTAAATAGTAATGGGGACATAATACATCCCTGTCTAACTCCTCTCCTGATTTCAATTTCTGGACTAGGTTGGTTATCTATTACGATTTGTGCTCTTTGATTCCAATAAAGGTTTGTTATTATTCGTAAGTCCCTATGATGCATATTTTTTGTTTTTAGAATTTGGACTAATGTTTCATGTCTTACTTTGTCAAATTCTTTTTCAAAATCAACGTAACAAACATGCACATCAACATCCATATCCATCATCATATGTTTTTTCAATTCAACTCAAATCTTATATTTAACCTCTGGTAATACCTTGATCAATGCAAATGACAAGACTACAACTGCTACAACCTTTGTGCCGTTTTGAAGTATTACAATCAGAATGTGTTATTTTTGAAATACCTCTTTTTTCTCCTGTACTTTTCAAATAAATTTGTTTGTTTTGGTTGTCGACTTTAGAAACCATTAGTATTGTGCGACTAAATAAACTGTCGTAAATACCATGTTGATCAGGCACTGGCAGCTTTATGATCTATTTATGATTTAATTGGGATTAACACACTATTAAAATGCTTGCTCAAAATTATGAATAAAAGAAATTTTAGTTTATACTTACGTTTGCAACCGCCACTTCCACTTCCAAAGTAGCAAATCTTCTGCCGATGCAAGAACGGGCACCATGTCCAAACGGCATGTAAGCGAACGGATGAGCGTTTTTCGCTGAGTACTCGTTACTAACAGATCGTAGCCACCTTTCCGGCATGTATCTAGTGGGTTCTTTAAAATATTTGTCTATTAAAGTTGTTGCATAAAAATGCATTGGCAGTACATCCGTCTAAAACAAAAAATTACTATTCTAAAAATTATATTTAGCCCACCATAGAGATCGGAAATTGAATACAACTTCCTTCTTTCGGGTGGTTTTTAAAGAAAAATTGTTTGATTTCTTTAAAACAGAATTAAACCTTCACTTTTTTATTATAAGATATTTATATATTTATAAGATAAACACTATGGGACATATCTAGAAGGACATATATTCACGTAGATGCAAAGTGGAGAACATCAAGCACTGGGTAAGAAACAGAAGAGTAGAATGGAACGATCATATAAGCCGAATGACAACAAATAAAGTAGTAAAGACGGCAAGAGACGGTTCCCCAATAGGAATACGATCAGTAGGAAGACCACGAAAACGATGGAACGCCAACTTACTGAGGGCACATTGAAAAACAGACAGAGTCATGTCTATATAAAAAGAAGAAGAAGAAGTTTAGCAGGCTAATTAGGTGGGGTAGATATTGCAATATTAGTTTCTTCTTTCTATATCTCTAGCAGTTCTACGTTCTTTTGCACATCTTTTAGTTCTTGTCGAATGTCTTCTCAAGGATATAATTTTGTTGTTTCAGCATTCTCATTTAAGAGGTAACATACACGAGAGGAGACAAGTGTACAAAGTTTAAACCTGCAATTTGCCTAAAATCAAGGAGAACCAAGAATATATTTGTAGTCAAATTCAAACAGCACTTTATTAAACAATTAAAAATCTGGTACTTACCCCCTTTGGGACTTGGTAGCCTCTTATTATCATGTTTTTTGAGGTAGTTCTGAGACCGCTGATAGCAACTGGGGCGATCCTACTACTCTCTTTCACGGCAGCTTTTAGGTATTGCATTTCAGATAACTTGTCGGCTGTTATCACTGTGTCTTTTTCTGGGAGATATTTTAAAACTTCTTCACGAAGTATGCTTTGTTTCTCTGGATTCCTGGCCAAAAAGTATAACACAGCTCCAAGTGTTTTTCCGGTCTGAAAAAATCTTTCATTTAACATTATAAAAAAAAAAAGAAAAACGTAAAGTTAGAATCAAATAATGTTAATATGCATGAGGTTAATATCAAAACGATGAATAAATAAGTCTGCATGTCATGACAAAACAATCCGTGATAGCTTGCTTGATAGAAAATAATGTCGTCGACTGTATGCAATAGTGGTTTAACTCAAAAATTGACAAAATGGAGTTAACATCACCAGAGGGATTGAAAAATCCTTATTTATGACCTAAAAACTGACACAATAATAATAGCAAAAATGTCCGTTAGAGGTCACTAGTGTCGCTATGACATGTCGGTTGAGATAAATTGTTTCTTGCAGTACTGGTCCTTTTTAATTGTGCAGTGGAAGTCGAACCCTATCGATATCAAGTTTCTATGCAATACCGGCACTTTTGAGTTGTGCCACTATAGCAGACAATTTCAGATATTTTCAAACTGTATCAGTGAGTATTTTGGAGTGCCACATTAAATAAAAAGAATAAATTTTTATTTTAAAAATGTCAGATCAAAAGGGTTAACAGAAAACTAGTGAATTAATCCTATCTCGAGCAGGAGTTACGTAAGTAATAATATCAATATTATTTTAATGTATAATTCCAAATCATCGATTTAGTAGAAAACTTAAGACGACTTTTTGATTACATCTACTGGATTAAACAAAAAATAAAGCCATTTTAGTTCTTTTAGTCTACATTTACAGAGGTCTCTGATGAAAATGTGGGCCTATTTATCGATCGACTCATTACGGTATGTAAATCCGAACTGCTCGTTGCAAACAACCAGTCGAAGTACACGAATTATGTGATAATGATTTTTTTTTACCTGAAAAACTTAAATCCTAAAACAGCGACATTGTTCAATGAATATGTCCAGGGAAATACTTTTCATTTCAACGATATTTGTGAAATTCATGTAACAAAAGCTCTGGTACCCACTATTATTTTAAAACTTCATTTGCACAAGAGAAAAGGTTTAGAAAGAATGGATATTATAGATCTAGAATAGGCTTACACTGGCAGCCTGCCAATAAGTGAAAAGAAGAAAAAGACCTTACTAGCCTTTATGAATGAAGAGTGTCCCACCAATTCACGCTGATTTCTACAGACATTTAAAACATTCTTAATCATAACTTTTCCTATTATTATTAATATATACTTTTTTATTTCGTTTGTCTTATAGTTGTTAATAAACACATTTTCTCATTCAAGTAACTGGTAATATTCTTTATTGAACCTTTATTTAAGTTGATAGGAATAACAAAAAAAAAATGCCAGTTTTGTCTTTGTCTTTATTAGTCTTGAACGACAAAATTTTGATGTGCAATAGTGGCACAACTCAAAATAAGGGTTGAATTTAAAATTATGTGTTCAATTTGCTGCCTGAAGGCTACCTAACGCTTTCTCACATAAGCAAAAATTAATTTTTCCGAAAATACCAATCCATGTAGTAAAACAAATAAGAGAAAATTATTGTCAAACAAACTTTAAACCCTGTTTTAAAAAATTACCAGTTTTTGTGTTGTGCCACTATTGCATACAGCCGACGATGTAACCCTACCTTTACCTCCTTAAAATATTTTAGTTACCGTATCAACTCCTGCTGTTATCATATCCATAGTCATGATAAATGCAGTTTGCTTATCCAATTTGAGTAAACGCTGCAGTACGCCAAGTTCATCGTCTGGTACGTTTTGATTTTTAAATTTTGCTAATGATTCATCAATAATTTTTAAGAGGACACTAAAATCAAACAAAATCAGTTATTACTCGTCAAATCTAGGAACGACTTTCAAAATCTTACAATCGGCTCTCCCACTTGGTGCGTAATAAAATTACTGGAAACATATTAGTGGAAGTAAACAACTTGATTTGTAAACTTAGATAGGTGAAGTCTGCGACTGAGTTTTCTTGAAAAACTCTGTCAGGCAAAGCCGAGACAATACAGCGAATGTTATGCATTTTATGCAACAAAAAGCAAGAGACAACCACCTCTGATAGATTTAAAACAAGTGCAGGAACGTGTTGCAATAGCAACAGGTGTAGGTTTAAGCACTATAAAAGCAATTTCGAAGTAAATGAAGTGCCAAAAAGATTCGTAGATTTATAATTCCGAACTTATAAAAAAAGGTTCCGACTTTACGACGAATACACAGAAATTTTATCATGTTTAATTCCATCCAAGACTTTGTTGTAGTTAATGAAGCAGATATAAAGATCGTGGTTAATATATTTGAATAAAAAAGCAAATAGAGCTCTCGTTAAAGTTTAATGAAAGTACAGACTGAATATAGCCACAAATGTCAACCATGGAACAAAATAGTTCGGTTTGGAAGAGTTGGCATGTTTATATGTCTATGTTGTATGCTTCAAATATCAAAAGAGAAAACTTTAGAAAAGTATATTTTGATTATTATCATGTTATGAATTCTGCAATTTTTAATTTATATAAAACAAGAACGAATAAAGATTTGTTTCTTTGGAGATTAATTGCAGTTAAATATTAGAAAATTTTTTTTGGGAATTGCCTTTTGATAGATTAGCGGATATATTTGGCAATCGTCAAATCAACACTTGCCAGATTGCAACAGATGTTTGCAATTAATCTCGAAAGAGACAAATATTTACTCGTTATTGTTTTATTTAAATTAAAAATTTCAGAATTCATAAAATAGTATAATCAAAATGTACTTTTTAAAAGCTTTCTCTCTTTATATTTGTTAACCGAGCTCCCTTTGTACTCATATCGATACAGAAGCTCAAATTCGCTTCACTCATCAATATCAATTAGTACTTAAACAAGAATTGTTTTCATTTTTTTTATATTAACTCTAACCCTAAAAAAGAAAGAATTAGATTTCTACTTACTCATTTATATAGTCAAGATTATCAGCATATTCATTATACCTCTTGGAGGGAAGATACTTCCAATAGGGTGGCAAATTTTCTAAATAGAAACTTTGATCGAAGAACTTCAATACAGCTATAACGAATTTGTTGGTTTCTGAGTTTTTGTCTGCATGTGTATCAAGTGCTCCTAAAAACGAGATCTTCATAAATTATGTGTTAAATGAGAACATCAGGAAGAAGCAGAACTACTCTGATTTGATAATGGCAAGTGTGTCCTTGCTGATACGTCGTCAAAACAATGGTTTTTCTAAAAACCAAAGATATATATTTTAATAGCGAAATTGACAATTGTAATAGAGAAAGAAAAAATACGAAACCTAATTGTCTGTTTAAAGCAATAATCGCAACTGAATCCAATGCCCATTTGTATAAATCTTTCTCGAAATCATCAGGCGTTTGATTGGTTCCACTACTTTTCACGCGATGTTTAATAAGCTTCATGAGGTCCTTAGCTACTCCATCCATTCTCGTGGTGTATTGCTGAACTGTCTTAGGTTGCATTAGTATTGGATTGACGATAGTTCTTAACTTATGCCATTCCTCACCTTGTCTAAAATAACACAAAGTTTTCATTATAGGTGTTTTCGTTCATTGTTTGAACGCTTATTTTACACAGCGAACGCATATTTCTGTAATTACTATTTTTGTTGGGAATAAGCCACATTTAAGTTTAAAATAAGTTTATTTTTGACGTTTCGATTTCCACTTCGGAAATCGTTCTCAAAATACAAAATACAAAATTACATAATTACATTTTATTTGGATTAACAAAAAGAGAAATCGAATGTTATTTGATTGGTAGCACTGTTAATGACTTGTATAACACTCTTTGTTCTTCTTCCTCTTCAGTAGTAGCAAGTAGTAGCTGTATAATTCCTTTACTCTAATAAACATAACCTCACTTTTCAGTGTTTGACCCATCGAGCAAAAAGACAAAAGAGGGAATGTAAAGGTAGTGGGGGCCAACATATTATTAGACAGGAAGTGCGATCTTTAGAGGCCACATTAAACAAGGAAAGAGAGTCTCTCTCCTTGTTTGACATCAAATTTAGTTGGGTTATGTTATTGTTTGTCCCAAATGTCACATAAAATCTTATTTATATTGAAGTTTTTTTAACAATTGTGTCGCATTTTAGACTATTATCGTTAATAATTAATTAAAACTTTGTCGTCTAAGACACATTCTGAAAAATATTATAAGCTACTGTTGATAAGTGTCGGAAAATTTAAATTTGGCGCATTTGCATTTCCGGATATGTCCGCCATCAGAGGCCACTTTTTTGGTCTCCTTTTCATAAGGATTAGATTCCCTCTTTTGTCTTTTTGCTCGATGGTTGACCACTTGACTCATACACTTTTAAGTATGGCTAGTCGCGGTTGTAAAAATTGTTCAAATACATTTTGTTACATATATGGTGATTATAATTTTATAAAACATCAGAGATTACATTACTGACTTTGTAAAAAAGGTATATTTTGCATATTTTGGTGTGAAAAGTGGTGACCAAGATAAATGTTGAGCTCCTTACAATGTATGTTATGTTTGTGTTAAGGATTTCAGGAAGTGGTCGAAGAAGGAAAAAAGCTCTCAGATTTGCAATGCCTATGGTATCTCGAGAGCAAAAAATCATTCAAATGATTATTGTTTTTGTACTGTCAATGTTTCTGGATATAAATCCAAAAATAAGAAAGTGCTTGTTTATCCTAACCTCCCGTCTGCTATCTCTCCGGTAGAGCATGGTCCTGAACTGCCAGTTCCTGAGCCTCCTCTACGTATTGATGCCATTTTAAATACTAGTAAATTAGAATCTGATGAAAGCGGTCCAGGAAGACATGGTGAATTTCAGTGTCCTTCAGAAAATTCGTTGTTTACATAAGCCGAGTTAGATGACTTATAAAAAAAGATAGAAATTTGGCTTTAACAAAGGAAAAATTAGAATTGCTTGGTTCAAGAATAAAAGAAAAGAATTTACGGAGATCAATATTTTCCTCAGTTTTCTTAGGCAGGAAGGGGATTTAATCTAGTGTCATGATATTGGTAGTCCAATGAATGAGTTTGTTATTAAGTAGGTAGATATAATAATGATGATTGGAGGCTTTTTATAGACTATTCAAAAAGAAGTTTAAAAACTGTACTCTTACAGAATGGGAACAATTATGCTTCACTTCCTATTACTCATTCAGTCCGTATGAAAGAGACATGTGAAAATCTTAACACAATTCTACAGAAAATCAGCTATTCAGCTTACAATTGACTGATTTGTGAAGATTTAAAAGTTTTTCATTTACAACGATATGACCTACTTTGGTCCATACTTCAAGGTAAAGTGCATGGGAAAAGAGGTCCAGAACGGAGAAGAATATCCTGGCTGCATAATCTGCGAAAATGGTTTAACTTAACCACTACCGGACTTTTCAGCAGCAGTCAACAATGTCAGACTAGCCATGTTAGTGTCCAACATCCGTAACGGATAGGCACCATAAGAAGAAGAAAAGTTGTTGGCGTGCTACTTGGTCAAGAAAAGGGATTTACAAAGTAGTTTCTACGTTTTATTTGTGAATGAGACAGTAAAGCAAGAGATAAATACTGGTTCACAAAACAATGGCCCATAAGAAATGTTTTAATACCTGGCGGAAGAACATTTTGTAGAAAACTTTGGTAGATCTAAAAAAGAAAAAGATCCTCCTTTCACATCTATCCATGAAGTTAGGCTTAATACTACAGTTTGTCAAGGCCCTGCTTAAAGATGGAGAATGTTTCAAGTACTTAAGGTGTTTTTATTGGATCAGATATTCGTAAAATGATGTTCGACTCCACATTTGAAACCAAGATGACTACTAAGGAAAATGACATTCTGAGCGATTTTCAGCGTGTTTGTATGATGTTCTAAGAGTACTTACTCGTTTCAGGAAATTGTTTTGTTGTCTATGGATGGTGAAGAGGTCTTTATAAATCTCTCTAGTTATTTTCAGAATGTTCTGTTTGTTGTTGCCTTTCCCCTTTGTGTCTTAGCTTCTATATTTCTTTTTTAATTTTCTTCTCATTATCTTTGCACACGAAAGGAAACTTTAAAGCGTACGGAACCATATTTCCTAGGCGTTAAGTGATGGCGCATGCATTAATACACTATATTTACGTAAATATAAAAAATAAACTTACAACAAAGCAAGTCCGAGGTTCCCTTTAAAGAAATCTTTTCTTAGTTTACGTCGATAATGGAAAATGGCATCCATAATGAATCTGGAAGGGAAAGGACCGGTGTTGCGAATAAGCTGTAAAAATAATATTAGGTATGTCGTACGATACGAATAAACATATAATTACTTATACCAAAATACAGAATTGTGAAGTGTTTTAACTTCTGTGTTTTTTAAACGATGGTATACAGCCAATTACGGGGTTTTTCCCATTAATTTTATATAATTACTTGTTACAGAATGCAGCAAGCCTACAAATGTATAAGAAATTTTTCGGTGTAGGTAACGTATGCTGAATTAAAATATGTAGTTTGTAATTTTTAATAAAATATATATTTTAGATCTCTTTCCCTGCGCAAGCCTGATATATTAGCCAATTTTTTTCATGCCCTTAATGTGCGAATCTTATAGAAACGCTAGGGCGGAGGTTCTTTTTTTTTAATATTGACTTTCTTGAAAAATTGGAAAATTTTTCGTTTTAAAAGCGACTACCCATTTATTAGAGAAAAATTAAAAACAGATGCTCGCTTTTCCTTGGTATAATATAAAATATTTAATTCCCACTGTTTCGGTAATTTCCATATTGAGACTGGACAATCATTATGTGGTAAGGTTAATTGAAAAATAAATTCAATGCAAATTTTTAAATCAAAATTAATTTATTGAATGCTCATTGATCATAAACACGATAATGAGGTAGACGAGCTTGATATCCAATCATCGAGCAAAAAGACAAAAGAGGGAATCTAATCCTTATGAAAAGGAGACCAAAAAAGTGGCCTCTGATGGCGGACATATCCGGAAATACGAATGCGCCAAATTTAAATTTTCCGACACTTATCAACAGTAGCTATATAATATTTTTCAGAATATGTCTTAGACGAGAAAGTTTTAATTAATTATTAACGATAATAGTCTAAAATGCGACACAATTGTTAACAAACTTTAATATAAATAAGATCTCATGTGACATTTGGGACAAACAATGACGTATAATATATAGACTAAGCGGTCCCCTATTCTCGCTATATAATCGAGTGTCCGAAAGATCTCTGCTCAAGGTTGAAGGTATGTTTACCAGAACAGCGGCGTGCTCATTTAAATGTTAATGACAATAATTATTTTTTTAATTAAAATTAAATATTTATGATTTCTTTTTGTTCCCGTCTATAAGAGAAATAATTATTTTGATAAAATAGTATGGCATTTTACTAAAATAGTAAGTAAATAACTCTCAACAATTTAAAATAAAATTTGCTTGTCACATAAAATATGTAAACACACAAAATGGATAAAATGTTTTCATACGTCCATGATGTTTTCAAACACAAGATCAACTTCGTGATGCTTCGTCACCGTTGTTCGGTGGCTTCGTAAGAAATCATGAACTTCGTGCATCTTCGTATCAAAACAATAAACAATAACAAAGGTATTCATGTTTTGGACACTTTTTAAAGCGCTCACCGGGTCTATATATTATACGTCATTGGGGACAAACAATAACATAACCCAACTAAATTTGATGTCAAAACAAGGAGACAGACTCTTATAGTTTATTCGTCTTCCGGGTTTGGACCGTGTCATTTGTGAGTGACCCAAAAGTGGGTTCATCTCGTTGAGATGAACCCACTTTTGGGTCACTCACAAATGACACGGTCCAAACCCGGAAGACGAATAAACTATAATTCTGACTCTGGCCGTGGAAGCCTACGATTTCATTTGAGAGAGACTCTCTTTCCTTGTTTAATGTGGTCTCTAAAGATCGCACTTCCTGTCTAACAATATGTTTACCCCCACTACCTTTACATTCCCTCTTTTGTCTTTTTGCTCGATGTGTCCAATGCTCAACTTCTCAAATCTCAGAATAAAATTGAATATGGCAACACTGATTGCCCAGTGTTAAATGTTAAGCAATGGAATTAATATTCGTAGAGATTTACCACTGTACAGTGGATATTCCTCTTTTACTGACATCCAAAAATCAGAAAGTTCCACGTAACCAAACTTAAAACAATTATCACAAGACAAGTCAATAAGAGATTCTTTTTCGAAATAAGTACTTGACATATTCCCTTTTCATCTACAAGCTTATGTGCTGTTTTGATAAATTATTACTGATTGTTTTTTTTTACGGTAAAGCTCCCTGTACTGCACTACAAACCGCCTCAACCGCTCTAAACTCGTAACAGTCATTGTTTGCGTTAATCCAGAGGTTCCCAATTTTTTTCGGCGTTTCCGATTTTTCATATTATTTACGCAAATGAGTATGTTAGCGATGAGATGTTTTAAGTTATCACTTTGTATATTCTTCTTCTCATTCAGTCTGTTTTGTGACATTTGATGTCAGTTTCTCCCCACTTTTTCGTTGATTTTATCTAGCCACTTTTTATGGTCTTCCTCTATTACGACTGTTCTCGTATGGTCTCCAATGTTCAATGTGAGTCCCTCACCTGCTAAACATGTACTCAAAAGAACACTCATTGCCTCTGCAGTTTTTTAGTACCTCGGCCATAATATCGGGCATTAAAAAATACCATGATTATGTATATGACAGGAAAATAAGCATAATAACGGACCATAAACTATTCGAAAGAAAATGCAAAAAAGTATTTTTGAAGTGTGTATATTTTAGGCAATTCCTAGATGAGCGCTTTCGGCTTTACAAAGCCATCATCAGAGCTATGGTCAATTTTTAAATACCACTACAAAGGAGAGATCTCATTTCCTTAAGTTTCACAATTATGATTTTGTAGGAGTTGGAATTTTTAAAACATATAAAAAACATATAAAAGGTCGACACTGGACGTCACAAACACGTTAAAAAATTGAAAAATTTTTTTGTCATGGTACGGGTTTAAGACCCGACCATCTATTGATGTGAGGATGTAGACTGAATATGCAGAATATTGCTATTCAGTCTACATCCTCACATCAATAGATGGTCGGGTCTTAAACCCGTACCATGACAAAAAAATTTTTCAATTTTTTAACGTGTTTGTGACGTCCAGTGTCGACCTTTTATATGTTTTTTATATGTTTTAAAAATTCCAACTCCTACAAAATCATAATTGTGAAACTTAAGGAAATGAGATCTCTCCTTTGTAGTGGTATTTAAAAATTGACCATAGCTCTGATGATGGCTTTGTAAAGCCGAAAGCGCTCAGCTAGGAATTGCCTAAAATATACACACTTCAAAAATACTTTTTTGCATTTTCTTTCGACTTGTCATAAGTGTGTACAAAAAATATCAGTCTTTTGATCCATAAACTATTGCTGAGTATTTTTAATCCAAAAAAAGTTGTTCCAGAGGTACTCTCACCCACAATGATTAGATGGTCTCTTATGTAATCTGCTTGTGATCATGAATTATGTTATGTACTAGGTTCAAAAATTCAGATTGCAGATGATCTTAACAGATTGTCATAAAAGGTACATGCGCCGGAACCACCGAGCTCAGATTACGTTTTGATGCTTGAAAACATCGCAGAAAAACTAATATGTGGGAAAGACATTGCCAATAAGACTAAGAGAGATCCAGTGTTATCTTAAGTTTTACAGTGGGCATGGAAAGGTTGCCCTGTTGAGAAAATTAAATTTTCAGACGAATACACTCCTTATGTACAACGTAAAAACAAAATTAGCTATTATCGAGCCTTTTATGGGGTGCAAAAGTAATAGTTCCACTTGTAGGAAGGAAAACAGTACTGAATTTGCTACACCCAGCATACCAAGAAATCGTAAAAGAGAAGTGACTGGCACGCTCATATGTTTGGTGGCCAAATCGAATACCTCGTAAATACATGCAGCGAGCGCCAGGAGTCTAGAAACATGCCAAAAAAGGCTCCAATCCATCCGGTGCTCCATGGACAAGAATACACCTCGATTTTGCCGGTCCATTTAAAGACAAAATGTTTCTGATTATCATAGACTCCTACTCGAAGTGGTTGGAGGTTAAAATATTTCCAAATACCTCTAGTGTCACCATAGATGTATTACGTGATTTATTTGCCACTCATGGCTGTCGTAGCAGATAACGGAACTAGTTTTAGGCCAGCCGAGTTCCAAGATTTCTTAAACAAAAACATTATTAGGCATGCATTGGTTGCATTGGTTGTATAAAATGTAAAAAATGCACTTAAAATGGCAGATAGTAATGAACAAGCTAACATACAATTAGCATTGTACAAATATCTCCTTACTCAGCACATTATACCCCATTATGCAACAGGGAGATGTCCATCAGAAATATTAATGAAGCGAAAATTAGGCTCATCAATTAAATCAAATAACCTGACAAATAACCAGACGTTTTCAAGAAAATAAGATTGTATTTGGAAGATCATTTGCTCCAGGTCAAAAGTGACTTCCTTCCAAAATAATTGGAATTACTGGACCGTTAAACTACAAAGTTCAAACTCCAAGAAGCAGCAGACGAAGTTATACCGTCAACGTCGATGGAAACAAAATTACTGGTAACTCCACAACTGCCGTTTTCGCATCCAAACGAATTTGTAGACCCAGAACCAGAATTTGTAGAGCAGGCTGCTGAATTTAAAAAGCCACCTGCTCGAATAAGAAAATCTCCAAGGTATTTGCTAGACTATGATGAGTAAATTCATCCAGGGTGGAGGAGTGTGATGTATCGTACTTGTTTTTGTTATTAGTTTCCTTACGTTTTGGAGTGATAATTAAAGTCGGTAGTATAACCTATACCTACTTTTATTATTATTTGCAATCCGGTCCGCTACATATTACATATTTTCTTTATCCTGGTTTTAATATCATTTTGTGTTTAATTTCATTTAGTTGTATTTCTTCTAGATTATATATCGGTGCGAGTTTTTTCGTCAGGTCTTCCTCATGCATATCCCTATTTTGTTGTAATTCTGTAAGTGTGGAAAAGTTTTGGAAGAATAATATATAAAAATAAGAACCAGTACAAATGCAAAGAATATAAACAGGCAAACGTTACTAGCAGTCTATCTTAAAAATAATGCTGCAAGTTTCACTTAAAAATATAATAAAACTGATATAAATAAATTCTTATACGAAGGTTATTATACACTCACACCCTCCATATCATCTGGATCATACAGGAATATCTTATCTCTGCGTCCCCATATTCCTCCTAAATGTACTATATCTCCATACCGTTGTTGTAATCTGAAAAATAAATTTTATTATATAATAAAACAGTATTTTTGGTTGTTGCATTTTTGTTTGTTGTAGACTTTATTGTTACAGTTTTTATTCTGATCAAATGGGTTATTTGCTATTTAGTGGTGGAATTATATGGAACAAATACCACATAAAGAGACTAAACAAAATTATATATCAATTTTTTAACATTTATATGATTATCATCATAATTCAGAATTAAACATCCCCTACTTAACAAAGGTATCTTTGTATAAGAAAGGGTGCATGTATGTGAAATTATTAATATAATTTCAGAGTATAAGAACTGTATTAAATAGGGCTCGTTCAAAATAATTAGGAGAGGTAGTAAAGAGCTATACAAATAATAGCCAAATTAAGTTTATAAAAAGTCTTACCAACACTGCTGTTATACACACTCGCGGCATTTATAGGCTTTTGCTGGCAGTCGTTCCTCTTACGGGGATGCTGTCTTTACCGATTTATAAACACGTAACTATCAGAGAGAAAGACACACAGAGAGAGAGAGAGAGAGAGAGAGAGAGAGAGAGAGAGAGAGAGAAAGAGAGGACGTCTGTTGCTAGCGAAAGTCAACAGACAAGAGAGTACGTCTGTTGCTGGTCGCAGTCAATAGCCGAGAGAAAGAAAGAGTATTTTTCGTTTGTTATTTTAAAACCGTCTGTATTTCTAAAATAGTCGGGTTGAAGTGAGAGTAGGAAGGGTTGGAGTAGGGTAATGAATTTAAAATTGAGGTAGAGAATGATAGGAATTAATACAGCGAAAAATATGACATGGTTTTTCGCATGTGAAAAATTGAACACTCCTCTTGCTTCCAATCCCATGTACCAGGAGCCACTAGTCAGTTAATTATACTGGCCGTCGGTTATACTACCGGAGTTACACAATAGGACCCAATATTACACATTTAATTTTTTTTAACTTTTTTTTTATTCGATAGTTCGAAGATAAGCTTCTCCCATTTCCTTCCATTCCAAAAACGGTATTCTACTAAATTGTTACCGCCTTAACAACATCAGATATGTAGATGACACCATAGTATTTGCGGATAATTTAGAAGACCTACAAGTTCTTATGAACAAAATCACGTGTTCATCATTCAATCTACGCTTATCCACTGCTGGACATAGATCTCCCTCATAAAATTTATGAAAATTACGTATTACAGTCAACAATATGGACTCAATGTAAACGTTGAGAAGACAAAGTTCTTGATAATTAGCAAATAATGATAACAGAAGGTCAACTCTACGTCAACCAATCTCGTGTAGAAAGAGTGACGCACTACAACTGTAGCATTTGCAATTTCATTGATTTTTTGGTGTATATTGAAATCCCCTCGTATATGTAATATATTGAAATCCCCTCATAAGTTTTAAAAATCGCAGAATATTTTTTAACGTATTTCAGTTTCCTCTTTGTACGTATTAAAACACTGAATTCTTTCAGTTCCTCTTAGCGTCTCCAAGCAATAAAAAACATTTTAGAGTTGTTTATTTATTTCGTGTCGATAATTCTTTGATTAATGCCGCTCGAAGTACTGCGTTTTCAAATTAATAATCTACGTCTTAATTTTCGATGTGTTTTGTTCATTTCAATTTCAGCGTTTTGTTTATTTCAAGTTATGTGAACGAATTTTTAAGATAATTTTAACATTATTATTTGGGTCGCTGTATGCTCAGGTATGGATCCAAATTCATCTGTCGAATTTGTAGTTTTCTGTTTTTGGCCCCTTTTTATGGAAATAGGTAGCAGTGAAAAGTAAATTGTGAAGTATGTCTAGTTACAGAGGAGGTTAAAAAAGTATTTAAGAGATTTGTGTCGCCTGCAGCAATTCTGATGTTCCAGTTTGTTTCCAGTTGAAGGGGTTCTCAATCTTGCTGTTCCTGAAGCAGTTTGTTTAGTTCCAGTTATAGTTCCAGAATTCTAGTGTAAAACCCAGTGCAGTCCAGGTAACTTTTGTGCAAATATTTAAAGTAAAGTAGACATTTTTTTAATAATATAATTGCTTTCATTAAAATTTAAAGGACTTATATTAATTAATAAATTATAAAATTTTAGGGTTCGACTTTGGCTGTCAATTTGTGTGCTCAGTTTTTTTTAATTTGTTGTTATGACAGCTCGTTTTATTATTTTTTGATTTTAGTTTGTTTTATTTTTAAAAAAGGTTAACCTCCATGCAATTTTGTAAGTTTTGTAGCAACAGAGTTTGTAAACGGCTAGGACACATGTAAGTTTTTCTTGTTCTAGTTATTCTTGTTCTCTGTAACTATTAATCTATATGTAAATTTGTGCCATTATTTTTATAACTGTTTGTGGTAAGACACCAATAAATGTTAAATTTGTTTTTAACATTTTGTTAATTTTTTTTAAACTAACCCTTTTTTTGAGTTTTATTTGAAAAATATATGTTTTTTATGTTTAATTATTATTTCCTTTGCTACTAGTAACTAGTGGTTGTAATAGGTATAATTAGGCACCTCGAAGTGGCGCCCTATATTAAATTACTAGAGGTGCTTCCTGTTTCTTTTTGCTTTATTTGTCCCAACGAGATTCATGACCATTTGTTTCATTTTTTTGGTAGTTGCCCCAATCCAACCCCCTTATCTTTTACTTCTCCACGACCCCAGCTCTCCTAACAAACCCTGAGTGCCATTCGCACAAGTAGCGTTTATTTTGCTTAGCCTATCTCAGCCTCCATAATTTCTGCCCCCAATTTTCTACCCCTTGTATTAATACCCCATGTGGTAGGCAAAATATTATTCCTTACACAACGACCTAGGCACCATAATAAATGAAGAATGGACCAACAACCAGGAGATTAGAGCACGCATCGCAAAAACTGGATTCACCTTTAATCGGATGGGAGCCTTCTTCAAGAGTCACAACCTCTCTCTTGATACAAAAGTAAGAATGCTGCGATGCTACGTCTACGTCTTCTCTGTCCTTTTTATGGTGTTGAATCGTCGACCTTGAACGACGATATGTACAAAAAACGTGGCTACGAAAAACGAAAGCATTTGAAATGTGGCTATATCGGAGAATACTTAAGATCCCGTGGACTGGCCGAGTCACAAATGAGGAGGTCCTCAGAAGAATGAATAATAACCGAAAGGTACTGACCACCATTAAATCTCGAAAGTTACAATTCTTTGGACATATTATGCGAAATGAATCCAGACATGCTCTCCTTCAAGCCATCCTGCAGGTCCTGAGGTCCAGGAAGAAGAAGAACATCTTGGTTAAAGACCCTGGTCAAGATAAGATAAAGATTGCCATGATGATTGCCAACAATCGTAACGGATAGGCACATGAAGAAGAAGAACTTAAAATCGATGAACTTTTAAGAAAAATGACAAGATATTTTATCCTTTTTTGTTCAGAAAGATCCAAAAAAAACCAAAAAATGTGTCCAGACCGAAAAAAACTGATTTTTACAATTATTTGTTTAAAAAAAAATTGTTTAAATAAATTAGGACCCCTTCGCATGTGCGACCTCTTGCACCATATTTCGGGATATCTTATGAAAACAATTATGCAAAAAAATCGCGTGGGAATATTTTTGATTTATTTTTAAGTGAATTGACCTTATGTTCGGAGATATGAATACATTTTTGAATTGCAGTGATAATTAAGTTAATTAAACTTATTAACTAATTCGTTTTAAAACGTATTACTGTCTTGATCGTCTTGATACAATATTAAAGTAGGTAATTATATAAAAATTATGGTCGTTAGTAAATTCACTATGACTTGTTGTCAACTTGATCTGAAATTTTCAGTAATTAACTCATACTGATTGTTCCAAAGTCGTTTATTATTGGAGAAATTTGACTACGTACGAAAAATAGCATACGATATGGAATAGCCTAATTCCATTTTATTAGATATAAGAAACGAACTAGAAAATACCAATAGAAACCTTTGATAATATATTTATAAATTGTAATGCCTTAAATTGCTACGCAGCGGCGGATGTTGATAGTTTTGTTCATAGGGCGCTGCGGTCTTGTGATCTGATATATTTTTGACTTTTTCTTTAATACCGTTTTTCATGTTGTTGGAAGCCTTTGAACATTATTTCTTTGATTTAGACTGTTGGGATTTTTTTCTATTTCTATGTATTATCTGATTTCGCGTTTTTTTTTTTAATTTCAATGATAGTTTGGTTCAAATCGTAGTTTGGTTCAGATTTATTGTATGTCCTGTGTTTGAGACATGTTGCGCAAGGGACGACGTTTTTTCAATTCGATGTCTTTGATTCTTGGGTTGGTCTGTCCGATGTACGATTCGTCTCAGTTCCCATATGGAAATCCGTATACTCCTTGATTTTCTAACGATATTTTTGTTTTGGCGGTTGGTAAATTAGTTGAGATTTTTCTTTCGGTATTAAATATTGTTTCTATTTTGTGTTTTTTAGCATCCTCCCTATTTTCTCTATCGTACCATTCTCATAAAAGATAGAATAACTTTTGCAATCGGTTTTGCGTCTTCTATTGGGTCCTTTTTTTCTTTCTTGAGCAATATGAACTTTTTCTAATATATATTTCGAGAAGTCGTTTTTTACCGCTGTTTTCACATTATGCATTTCGTTACTTTTATGTTCTTTATCTAACAGTCTTTCGGATCGTGTCATCAAGGTTTTAATGACTGAATGTGATTGTGCAGGATGGTGATGTGAATGGGCATGTAGATATCTGTCGGTATGTGTAAGTTTTCCGTATGCTGTGTGTCCTATGCATCGAGCAAAAAGATACAAGAGGGAATCTAATCGTTATGAAAAGGAGACCAAAAAAGTGGCCTCTGATGGCGGACATATCCGGAAATGCAAAGGCGCTAAATTTAAATTTTCCAACACTTGTTAACAATACCTGTAAAATATTTTTCAGACAAGAAAGTTTTAATTAAATATCAACGATAATAGTCTAAAAAGTGACATAATTGGTAAAAAACTTCAATATAAATAAAATTTCAGGTGACAGTTGGGA